TTTGCCTCTTACTTCCATTAGACGATAATGCCTTGAATTATTTTTTCACTATCTTATTTTTTATGTTAATTTATCACTACACCTCTTATATAGTATCAAAGTATGAGCTATCTCTCATAGTTTTTAAAAAGAAGTAATTATAAACATTAATTATATCTCTCATCTGAAAACTAAGATGATAATAACAAAGCCCTTTGTATTTCTCATAATTTATAAATGGACAGTACTCCTCAAGAGTTTCATTGTAGAACTCTCTGGAAGATTATGCTGCTTTCTGTATCACCTCATACACTGTCAGCATGGATTTTGTTTATGGAAGCCAGAGTTAAATTTTTATACTTTCATGTTCTTTATATGATTGACTCCAGGGAGTTGCTGAGTTTTGTCTCTCCTGTTTATTTCTTCCTTTGTGTTTTGTCCAATTTTAAAGAGAAGACTTACATGATAGCTCTTTATCCTGTTATAGATAAGCTGGACTCTTCAATTGCTTTCATTCTACCAAGGTAGAATGGAGAGGTAAACTGAGACATGAACTCCTACCCTCATTCTGCCACCAACTAACTTTGTGATCCTCTGTGCCTCACTTCATCATCTGTAAAATAAAGTCATTTACTTCAATGAATTCAACAAGACTCTTCTAACTCTACTGTGGTTTATAACATTGATTGATTTTAATGTTGAGCCATCCTTGCCTCCCAGGGATAAATCCCACTTGGTCACTTGGTCATGGTGTATGATCCTTTTAATGTGCTGTTAAATTCTGTTTGCTAGTATTTTGTTGAGTCTTTTTCCATCTGTCTTTATTCTCATAAAATGAGTTTAGAAGTGTTCCCACCTCTTCAATTTTTAGGGAAGAGTTTAAGAAGGATTGATGTTAACTTGTCTTCAAATGTTTTGTAGAATTCACATGTGAAGTTACCTGGTCCTGGGCTATTTTATGTTTTTGATTGCTGAGTCAATCTTCTTTGTTATTGGGCTGCTCAGATTTTCTGTTTCTTCATGATTCAGTCTTAGTAAGTTGTATGTTTGTAGAAATTTAGCTTTTTCTTCTGGGTTATCCCATTCATTGTAGTATGATAGTGTATGGTTGTCTCTTATAATCCTTTGTATTTGTGTAGTATGAGTTATGTCTCCTCTTTTGTTTCTGATTTTATTTTAGTCTTCTCTCTTTTTTTCTTAGTCTAGCTAAATGATTGTCAATTTTGTTGATCTTTTTAAATACCAACTTTTAATTTTGTTGATTTTTTCTATTCTTTATTTCATTTATTGCTTTGATATTCATTATTTCCTTTCTTCTGCTAACTTTGGGCTTAGTTTATTCTTTTTCTAGTATAAAGTTAGGTTTTTATTTATCTAGAAAAGCCTTTATTTCTCCTTCATTTTTGAAGGAAAATTTTGCTGGATATAGTATTTATTTTGGGGTGGTTTTTTTTTTTTCCCCAGCACTTTGAATATTATCATTCTGCATTCCCTTTTGGCCTGCAAGATTTCTGCTGAGAAATCTGCTGATAGTTTTATGGGGGGGGGAGTTCCTTAATAATTCTATCATTTTGAATCATTTTGTTTGTCAAGAACCTGAATTCTGTAGGAGAGCGAGAAATCAGTGAGTTTTATGAAACCGGGAAGTCTGGAGACAGTGAATTATAGGGCAATTGTCAGCTTATTTTGTATTTTATGGTTAAGTTAGAGTATTCATTCTCTTTTTTGTCTACAGAGAATAGAAGGCTCAGAGCAGAAGAATCAAGAGCTCATAATGATGTCTCAAATAAATCAATAAATATACATGTATGTCTTTTCATTAGGAGAACAACAGCTCATATAATGGAAAAATATTTTCCACACACATGTTTATATCTGTATTTTAATACATTTAAATAGTTTAAGACATACTAGTGAAATAACACTTTTTTTTAATTGATTTGAGAATTTAATGGGCTAGAGTAGCCTCAAGATCTAAGTCTAAGATTATTTGCTATAAAAGTTTCCCACTTTGGTGGTTTTTTTTTAATTTCTTAATTTTACAGGGAAAAATAAACATCCTTACATACTTCTTTAGGTCTAAGGTTCATGAAGGAACTGTACTCTTTGGCATAAATAGCATACTTTTGGCATAAATATTTTCTTTTCTGACAATATAATTAAAATAGTTGTTAAAAGCTATACAGTGAAATACACTATTTTATACAATGCCACTATATGTACTGATTGCCCTTCCCAGAACTAAGAATCTGTCAAAGTGTCTTGGTAGAAATCTTCCCAGAAGGGGTAATTCATTGAGACCTGTACAGTGCAATCTAAGATGACCTTTTGTTTTTAATTAAAGTGGGGAATAAAAAAACCAATAGAAAAATTTGTCTCCCTTCATTTGCTCAAGATGAGGGTGATGGAACTTCTGTTCAAGTAGAGCCCAGCACTTGTTAAAAACATCGTAAATTTTGGCTATGTGTTGTGAGTCTGTAGCCATTACATGTGTAGCTGTAAATGCCAATGTGGTATGTCATAGTCAGGCTTCTTAAGGAATTAATGTTTACTGTCACTTTTTTGTTGATAGCTTTGAGGATTTTGTTTCTCTTGAAATTGAATTAAAGTGTATGTCTAATCTTATAAGGAACAAGTTTTCTAAGATTATAGCAGGTAGAAGAAATTTATCAACTTCTGGACAACAAACTTATGAACACACTATTAGGAAAATAAAAAATTTTGGCACTACATTTTTGTGCCATCAACTAGAGTTCCTTGCTCATAGTAGGTGTTCATTTAATGATTTTGAAATGAATTTTGAAAATAACTTTATTAAGGTATAATTCAAATATATTTAATTTATTGATTCAAAGTATACAATTCAATGACTTTTAGTGTATTCACAGAATTGTACAAATATAATTATAGATAATTTGAGAACATTTTCATTAACCCCAAAAGAAACATTGTATCCATTAGCAGCCATTCTCCATTTTCTCCTATACCTCCTGAATCCTAAGCAATTACTTTCTGTCTCTAGATTTCCCTCTTTTGGACTTTTCATATAAATGGAATCATATAATATGTGGCCTTTATGACTGGCTTCTTTTACTTCATTTGATGTTTCTAATGTTCATCCTTAATTCCTTTTTTATGGTAGAATACTATTCTATCATGTGAGTATGCTACATTTTATTTATCCTTTCATCAATTGATGAACATTTGGGTTGTTTCCACTGTTTGGCTATTATGAATTATGCTGCCATGATTCATTCAAATACAAGTTTTTGTGTGGGTATATGTTTCAGTTTATCTTGGGTGGATACCTAGAAGTAGAATTACTAGATTATATGGTAATTCTGTTTAACCAATGGAGAAACTGTCAGACTGTTTTCCAAAGGGGCTGCACTATTTTACATTCCCACTGGCAGTGTATTAAGTTCCCAGTGCTTGCTATTGCCTGTCTTTTCCAGCCATCCTACTGGGTATAAAGTCGCATATTATTCTGGTATTTTTAAAATTTTATTTTATTGAGTTATAGTCAGTTTACAGTGTTGTGTCAATTTCCAATGTTGAACACAATTTTTCAGTTATACATGAACATACATACATTCATTGTCTCGTATTTTTTCACTGTGAGCTACCAGATTTGCATTTATGCCATGGCTAATGCTAGTCTAGTATCTTCTCCTATCTTTATTGGCATTTGTTTATCTTCTTTGGAGAAATATCTACCCAGATCCTTTGCTCTTTTAAAATTGGATTATTTGTCCTTTCATTATTGAGTTGTAAGAATTCTTGATATATTCTGGATATAAGTCCTTCATTAGATACATGATTTGCAAATATTTTTTTTCCATTCTATGGGTTGTCTTTTCGCTTCCTTTATAGTATCCTTTGAAGAACAATTGTTTTTAATTTAATGAAATATATTATTTTCTTTTGTTGTTCATGCTTTTGGTATCATATCTAACAAGGCTTTGCCTAGCTGAAGAGCATAGATTTACTCCTATGTTTTCCTTAAGAGTTTTATAGTTTTTTGCTCTTACATTTGGGTCTAAAGTCTATTTTGAGTTAATTTTCACATGTGGTATGAGGAATACGTCCAAATTAATTCTTTTGCATATGGATATACAGTTGTCAAAATCCAACACCATTTTTCAAAGAAACTCTTATTTCTTCATTGTATTTTTTTGGTATACTTGTCAAAAATCAACTGATGTAAAAGTAAAGATTTACTTCTGGCCTCTGAGTACTATTTCATTGACCTGTATTTCTGTCCTTATGCCAGTACCACACTGTTTTGACTATGATGCTGTAACTTTGCAATAAACTTTATAACTGGAAAATTTGAGTCTTCCAACTTTGTTCCTTCTCAAGATTGTTTTGGCTGTTTGGGGTCCCTAGTTTTCATATGAATTTTAGGATCAGTTTCTCAGTTTTGGCAAAGAAGCCTGCTGGAATTTTGATAGGAATTACATTGAATCTGTAGATGTGTTGGGGAGATACTACCATCTTAATAATAGTAAGTCTTTCAGTTCACAAATAAATTGCTCTTATTTTACTGTGCTATACATAGGGTTGGAAATGTGAATGTGGAGGGAAATTTTTGTCCATTAACCCTTAATAGTACAATTGATTTTAATTATTTCATATTGGGATAACATCATTGAATGTTTCACTGTGCTGCTCACTAGAACTGTAACTTCTTTAAGGTAGAATGTATCTTAATTACTTTTGTATTGCTGAGAGTTAATGTCATAGTTGTTTAAGAAAAACATTTTTAACACTAAATAACCATTTATACATATATATGTATAAATGCATAGAACAAGGGCTCACCAATAATTGTAAAAGAGATAGAATATTAGTAAAACTACAAAATTACCATTAACAACAAATGGCTAACTGAGATTTTTAGTTTTAGTCTTTTCTTTCATATATATATAGTACTCCTCTGAAGAAAAATGAAATGATTGCTTTATAAGTTGATTTCTTTTAGAAGGCATAATTTATATGTTCTTAAAAATTCATTTTAGGTACCAAGTCTGATTCCAGTTTTGATGTTCAAACTGGGAAGACCACTGGAACCTGCGTTATACAATGATATCTTATATACTTTACCTACACTTGGTGTTCACAAGGTTCGTGTATATTAACCATTTTACTTGGGGGCAAAAAGAAAGTGAAGCATGGATAACACTTGAATTTTGTTTGTTCCCATGTGAAATTTTGGCCCTTTAATTTTGCCGTTGCTTCCCTTGTTGGGCTGAAAGTGTTTCTTACAATATTGAAGAATTAGTTCTTTTAAATCATTTTTATTGTCAAGTTTTCCCAGTGGCTGTTGTCTGAGATTAGGTCTTTATGCCCCCAGAATTGCTAACAGGCACCTCCCAAAGCTATCCTCAACCTCTGAGAAGGTGGGTCGTACTGTAGTTAGCTTCCATTTCAATCTTTATATAATAAGGGGTTTTTAAGTTCTTTTTGTACCCTTGGGGTTATCTACATTGCATTTATGAAACCAGAGTTTCTTCAATGTTTTCTAGGTATGCATAGGACAAATTCTACGAGTAATCCAACTTCTTGGAACCACCCCACAACTGAAAGCTGTCACTTTGCGCTTGTTGACATCTTTGTGGGAAAAGCAGGTAAGTCAGATACACACTTGTGTGAGTATTAAGCATGTTCCCTTCACTGAAGAAAGCTGATTTTATCATTATGCATGACAGTGCTTTGTTACAGTAATATTAGTGAATGGCATCAATGATTGCATTGAGAAATTTTGATTTAGTGTGGTGCTTTTGATCTGTAATGCAGTCAGTTGTGATTGACTCTCAGAGAGAAAGTGAAAATAGAAAAATAATCTATTTCTTTATTTCTGAAATTTATTTTTCCCTGTGTGTGGAAAAAGTAATAGAAATATAAGTGATTAGAGCCTCTGTAATTACGGTGAGATTTAGCCACTTTTTTTCTGGTTTTATGAAATGAACAGTACATGGGTCTGTAAGAAAATCCCCGGCAATCACAACAGCATTCTTTTCTCCTGATTAGGAGAAATACATTATAATTTGCAATGCAAATGTGAGATTGAGAGGAGAAAATGCTGCATAAAAGGAGATAATGATTATTCAACTCAAATTGTGAAATTTCCTTTTTTGTGAAATTGCCTCCTTAGGATCGTGTCTATCCTGAACTGCAGCGTTTCATGGCCGTGTCCGATATGCCCGCTCTGTCTGTGGGCAAGGAGGTCCAGTGGGAGAAACTGATTGCCAAAGCAGCATCGATCAGAGATATATGTAAGCAAAGGTAAGATGTGCTTAATCCTGGGGAATGTACATTATGATATCTTTTTTTTTTTTATTGCTAGCAAGGAGCTGGGAAACATAGGCAGAGAATATTTGAGTAAGAATAAGTTAATATTCAACTCAAGTTTTCTGATTGTAAAATTTAATAATATCAGACAATAACTTTGAGAAGCAGGCATGTCTTTTCAGGTCTAGTTGTATAATATAGGTTTAAACGGTATTTATGTCTTTTTCTGGGTAATAATTTAATGTTGTAATAAAATATATGTTATGTTTTCCATTTTTCTATCTATAAACTTCTGAAACTTAAGAAGTAGACTATAGTCAAACTATTCTTTCTTACATTCTCCCTATTTTATGCCTGAATTTTGCGAAGGATTTTAATAGGGAAAGCCTTATTTGTTACTCATTGCATGGAATTAATTATTAGGAATTATTATCTTGCATTCCTGGGGTTTAGGAGGACATGAAGATATTAGGAAGATGGCTCAGCTGTTCTAGATTATAGATTAATAAATAGGCAGGAGGTGACGAGACTGAAATAACACTAAGTAGAGCTCCACCTTGCCAGATTTCTTTTTTCTTGAAATGCAGTGAAGCCAGAACCTTTAGGGGGGAAACAGATTTGATAAGTTTCAAACGAGTTATAATCCAGAGGTTTGAGAAATTGATCAAGCCACTGCTCTGTAGAATTCTTGGAGCATCAGTCTCACTTTTGTCAGTGATGACGCTGTGAATGGTAGTCCGTGAAGCTGCGCAGTGAATGGCTGGCCCAGGTGCTGATAACGTGGGTGGTTCCTAGTCCAAGTAAAATCTTGGATCAGAATGTATCTAAGCCTCAGCAGTTCTGCCTCTTTTCTGAGCTTCAGCCTTCTGGCAACACAAAAAAAGACCTCACATGTAACCGAAGACCTGAGAGTTTAGATTTTCTTGAGGTGTTGTCATGGAAAAAAAATTAGAGATGAAAGCTGACATTATAATTTTACGTACTTAAACCCGAGGGTCAGGAGAGGTTAAATATCAGACCAGATCAGAGTCTGTTGAAAACTTATTCTGTGCACCTTTCAGTTACCACCTCAAGATCTGTTAAGTTTTTCCAGTTCTGTTAAATGATTTCCATTTGGTGGACAGTGAAGCAGTAGAGTTCAGTCAGACAATTTTTTCAATTGATATTTTGTTAAGTAGAGAAAAGTATTATATCACTGAGTGTTTACAAGGAACGCAGAGTATGGACCTGGGCATTTCTTTATGAAGTTAAAAGTATTCTGGGGACAGCACAATGTATGTGGGGTAGAGAGGAGAGGAAGGAGAGGAGGGTGAGTAAGTGAATCCAGCACGGTGCCTGGCATGAGGTAAGTGCTCAGTCAGGGATAATTGACATCATTATTATTTCTGTGAACATCATCCTTGTCATGATTACTGTGGTAGGTGTAACCACCTTAGTTTGTATCACTACTGTAATCAGTTATCTTCTCATCTCAAATCCCTGGTTTTACTGATAATCTCAGTAAGGTAAGTCAGTGCTTTTCATCATTATTATTGACTTGAGTTTTTGTCAGTTCAGACAATAGGATTTACAATTTAGGGAGAATAAAATTTGTTACTGAGTGTTTTCTTTTTTGGATAATATTTCTATATCAGAAATGAGCCTTCTATAGCAGAGATGATGACGATACAAATCTTTGAAGAAAAATATGTGGTGTTATTTGAGAGTCAGTGTTTAATATGCACTGGGTTAAAGGAAAGTGTTCATGCTTTTTGTTCAGGCAAAGGACCTTGGAGTAGTAATACAGCTCTTTCGCTTTAATCTTGTCTCGTAGGCCCTATCAGCATGGTGCAGATATGTTGGCAGCTATTTCCCAGGTGCTAAATGAATGCACCAAGCCTGATCAAGCTACTCCAGCTGCCTTGGTGTTACAAGGTCTTCATGCCCTCTGCCAAGCTGAGGTGGGCTTGCTTTGAATTGTTTTGTGTAATTTGGAAGGAAAAAATTTACAAGGCATATTAGTTACAAGGATATATGATTAGATTCCACTAACTGAAGGTTTGAATATTTATTTACAGAGATTTTTGGTTTGAAAGAGTGAAGCAAAGCCTTCTGCTTGACAAGTTCTTTGCAGAGCGGAGTCCTAAAATATCTGGTCATGTAGACATTCTCTAGAGGCTAAAGAACACCTTTAATTTTTAGGTTTTGCCTTGTTCTTAATCATTTTTGTTAATATAAAAGGGATGCTTATAGGAGAAATCTTGACTGTATTTGCTTCTTCGTTTCGTGATCGGAGAGCCTTAGAAGCAGATGATGAGGTGAGGAAATTGGCATGGGCCAGTGGCAGTTTTATAGCCGGTAAAAATTATTGTTGGCTTAAAGATTGGTAAAGGATCCTTTCTTCCCTAATGATCACATTGGGTAGGCTTGATTGATGTTAGAACTGAGTCTGTAAATCATTTTCTGAACTTTAGCCCACTCCCAAAAGTACAGCACAACAGAGAGAATCTTTCATGTTTTGGAGAGATGTGGTAATTACATCAAGATCATTCATTTACCTAACCAAAGTTTTTTTTATTTTTAAAGAATTTTATGCAGTCTTGTAAGCTGTTTTATTATAATTTTTTAAATTGAAGTATAGTTGATTTATAATGTTTTATTAGTTTCAGATGTACAACACAGTGATTCAGTATTTTTATAGGTAATACTCCATTTGAAGTTATTATAAAATAATGGCTATATTTCCCTATGTTGTACAATATATCCTGTTGTTTATTTATTTTATATGTAGTAGTTTGTGTCTCTTAATCTTGTACCTGTATCTAACCCTTCCCTGCTTCTTTTTCCCCACTGGTAACTGCTAGTTTGTTCTCTATAAATCTGTTTTTTATATACACTCATTTGTTTTGTCTTTTAGATTCCACACATAGGTAATAACATAGTATTTGTCCTTTGTCTGACTTACTTCACTAAGCATAATATTCTCTAGGTCCAGAATTTCAGAATTTCATTCTTTTTATGGCTGAGTAATATTCCATTGTGTGTGTGTGTGTGTGTGTGTGTGTGTGTGTGTGTGTCCGTCCGTCCATTCATCTGTTGATTTAGAGGGGAGGCTTTCAGCCCTGCACCATTTAGTATAATGCTAGCTGAGAGTTTATCATACATGGCCTTTATTATGTTGAGATAAGTTTCTTCTATACCAACTTAGAGGAGAGTTTTTAATCACGAATGAATACTGGAATTTTGTCAAATGTGTTTTCTGTGTCTGTAAAGATGATCATGTGATTTTTTTAATCCTTCCTTTTGTTAATGGAAGGATAAACAGTGTTTACCATATTGATTGATTTCTGAATATTGAATCATCCTTGCATCCTGGATAAATCCCACTTGATCATGATATATGATCCTTTTTATGTATTGCTGGATTCAGTTTGCTAATATTTTTTTGAGGACTTTTATGTTTATATTCATCAAAAATACTGGCTTGAAACTTTCTTTTTTTGTAGTATATTTGTCTGGTTTTGGTGATAGGGTAATGGTGGCCTCATAGAATGGGTTTGTGAGTGTTCCATCCTCTTCAATTTTTTGAAATAGTTTGAGAAGTATAAGTAAGCTTTTCTTTATATGTTCAGTATAATTCACCTGTGAAGCCATTCATTCTGGGACTTTTGTTTGTTGGGAATTTTTAAGTTACAAATTCAGTTTTACTACTAGTTTCAGTCTGTTCAGATTGCCTGTTTCTTTCTGATTCAGTCTTCGCAGGTTGCCTGTTTCTAGAAATTTGTCCATTTCTTCTACGTTGTTCAACTTGGCGTATTACTCTTCATGGTGTTCTCTTATGGGTTTTTTTTTTTAGTAACTCTGTGGTATCAGTTGTTTTTCTTCTCTTCAGTTCTTTCTTTTTTCATTTGAGTCCTCTCTCTTTTCCTCTTAATGAGCCTGACTACAGTATTATCAATTTCACTTATCTTTTCAAAAAACCACCTGTTGGTTTCATTGATGTTTTCTATTGTTATTTTAGATATTTAGATATATATATATATATATTTTTTAATTTCCTTTCTGATTTTTTTCCCTTCCTCTTGCTGAATTTGGGCTTTATTTGTTCTTCTTTTTCTAATTCCCTTAAATAATAGGTTAGGTTGTTCATTTGAGATTTTTCTTGTTTCTTGAAGAAGGCCTGTATCACTGTGAACTTCCCTCTTAAAACTGCTTTTGCTGCATCCCATAGGTTTTGGAAATTTTACATTTTCAATTGTCAGATTGAAAATTTTGAAATATTGAAAAATTGAAATATTTTCTGATTTCCTCTTGATTTCTTTATTGACTTATTGGGTTTTTTTTAGTAGCATGTAGTTTACTCTCCACATGTTTGTGATTTTCCCATGTTTCTTTCTGTAATTGATTTCTAGTTGCATACCATTATAGTCAGAAAAATGCTTGATATAATTTTTATCCTCTTAAATTTGTTGAGCCTTTTTTTGTGGCCTGGCATTTGATCTCTTCTGGAAGATGTTCCATGTACACTTGAAAAGAATGTGTATTCTGCTGCTTTGGGATGAAATGTCCTATAGGTATTTATTAAGTCCAGCTGGTTAATTGTGTCATTTATGACCACATTGCTTTACTGATTTTCTGTACGGATGATCTGTGAATTGATGTAAATCGAATGTAGTCTCCCACTATTATTGTTTTATTGTCAACTTCTCCCCTCTCCCAGCACTGGCACCCTTACTCCAAGGACGAGGAGTGCTGGAGCAAGAGGAGCCATGGAACTCTTGGCTCCTGACAGGGTGTCGGCTATGGTGGGCTGACCTCAGACAGAGGTCCAGGTTGCCTCCAATGCTCTGCCTATGCAAGCGCCAGTAATGGCAGCCCCTTCTGCATCTGAGTCTCCTTTGTCCCTAACAGCCAGTCACCACCCCCAGCCTCTGCTGCCCCTAGCGTGTTTTAGAGCTGTGCCACAGGGCAGACAGAGCCCGTGTTGACACTCAGCATGTGTCAGCGCGTGAGTGCAGCAGTCTGGCTACTGCCAGAGATCAGGACTGCCCCTGATGTGTTGCCTGTGTAAACGCCAGCAATAGTTGCCCACACTGTGCTCGTATGCCACCCTCATTCCAAGTTGTCTCTGTGTCTCACCAAGTTCCAGTCTCTCTCCCTGGTTGGGGTAGCCTTCGCTCGAATGTGGAGCTGCAAGGTGGAATAAGTGGGCTAGAGCGTTCCCACAGCTCAGGCTGGGGTGCACACTGGGGCAGTTGTGGGAAACCGGACAGCCACAGCAGCAGTCCTCAGTTCACCCTCTCTGCCCTGCCTTGGGAGCAAGCCAGTGCTCACATGTTCCTCACAGTTCCCACCAGTCCTCCAGACATTCACGAGAGCTTGTCTTCTCTGTATCAGTGGTCCAGTCTGGCTTGAACTGCTCACTCCCCAGGGTGGGTCTCCTCCAGTGTCATCTCCCTTTTCCTCTGAGGCCCATCCCAGGGCCACAAGGTCCCATCCTGATTGCTTCTCTTCCCTTCCTACCTGATTCCATGTGTATCTTTCTTATACCCTTGTTTGTACAAGAGTCTTCCCACCAGTTTCCGGTTAGTTTTTACTGGGAATTATTCCACATGTTGATTATTTTTGCTTTGTTTGTGGGGGCAGGGTCAGGGGAGGTAAGTTCTATGTCCTCCTATTCTGCCATCTTGATTGATTCTTTCCTAAGTAATTTTTTTTTGACACAGTGAACATACCTATACAATTGTAGTTCTTTAGTGAATGAGACTAAGTAGAATTCTCTTAGCTTATGGTAATTATGGTTAATATGATGATAATGAGTATAATGCTAATCATACAAGCAGTGATTCTATTTAGTGTGTATATGTTCATGTCCCAGTGGTAAGTAAGCACTTTTCATTTATGTTCTTTGACAACTCTTCAATATACGGATTATAACACCATGTTATAGTTGAGGAAAATAGACCTCAGAAGGAGGTTAGATATTTGCTCAGGATCTTGGTATGAGAATAATTTTCTTTTGGATAAACACTTATTTTAGTAGGCAGTAAACATCATCACTGTTCAGGAAGTGATATGAACTAAGGACAGTTCTTTCAGATGGTGTGCCCAATAATTCAAAAGTTGTTAGGGTTTCATAGCAGAGTACTATTGCAGTAGGCGAATACTGCACACGACCAAGGACTTCAATCAATCACCTGAAATCAGAAAGTATCGCTTTAATAATCATATCACTTTCATAAAACATCTACTTATTTTGACATGAAATTTTTAGCAGAAGCTTTGAGAGAATCAAGAATTCTATACTTTCACCTCCAGAAAGTGATCACTCTTATCATTTGGGAATATTTCATTATTTTTTCCGAACAGAAATTGACTCATTTTTGAGATTAAATTTTTCATCCTAACAAATTTGTCTCATTGTGTCTGTGATTCCATTGTGTCTCCACCCATCCTCTGCTCCTCTTCTTGTTACTATAAGGCTCTGTTATCTATAGAGACTTATTAACTTATAAGAAGTGATTTTTCTGATTCTGCTTCTCTAAGATATCATTAACTGCAGTTAGCACGGGAGATATGAAAAATGTTGCCTGATGTGGGAGAAAGCATCTTTGTTTTTAGACAGACTGTACCTGATATATACATTATTAGCTGTATTTCCTTTGACTAATTTACTTAACCTCTTTGAGTCTCATTTCTTCAGATGAGGATAAAATGAAATTACACACAAAAAAGACCTAGCATAATGTCTATCCACATAGGTGCTCTTTAAATGTTGAACTTGCTCCTGAAAAATTGGTTATTGTGAATGCCATCAAGGAGATTCTGACTAGTTTTATTTATCTTTCCCCTAAAAACCACATAATATATGACAATGACTTAATTTCTTCCTCTAAATGCTATGCTATCCCTTCACTACTGAAGTTTTTGGTACTTCTTTGTATACTTAAAGGAGATCATT